AGTGTTTGAACTTGAACGAAGGATTTTGTGACGTGACACGAGAAACTGAAGACTGGGGGACGGAGGCCGGGGTCGTCCGAGCAACAGCGTCAGAAGGTTGGGGTGAAGGGCGAAGGTGCAGCTTCGTCCCTGTTTCATGTAAACCGACAATAAGAGGTCAACATTAAACTCAAACAGATTCATATGAACCTTCTCTTCTCTCATTACCACAGAAATCTCGACCTCATCTTTCTTGCACCTCGGGTCACTGCCGCCCTACGAGCAAGTTCCTCATCTCACCAACATCGTCCCTCGTGAATAATCTCTGAGCTGAACCCAAAACATTTCAGCCGGTGCAGAGAGCATCACCCAAAACTCTGCATTTAAACTCTGTCACCCCAAAAGAGCTGAAGCCGAAGGAGAAAAGAGTTTTAACAAGACTTCGGATGGATGATTCTGCAAATTAGATCCTGAAGGATGAGGTTTCAGAGACGGATCTGCTTTGTTTGGTACCACACAGCAAATTAAATTGGTTTAGTTTGGCTCAGGCTGCCAAAAATATGGTGCTGCTCATTCTGCGGCCGGAGCAAACTGCAGTAAATCCTCATTAATGAAAAGGAGTCGGACATTAAATCAGGACTGTGATTCAGCTTCTCCACATCTCATTTAGAAACGTGGGTGTTCAGACAGCTCTCAGCGGTGATTCGTCAAATTCTGAACGTTCCCTCTCAGACTTATTTCTCTGTTTGCTCCTCGTTATTTAAATAGTTGTCGAAGCGAATTCGTTTTTTATGGTAAATAACAAAAGTAACAGTTGATTTCTAAAAAGCCCATCAAACAAAAGTATTTCATGTTTTAAGTGTTTGTCTTGTGTTGGTAGATAGTATAAGATAGTATTGTGTTTGTAGATAGTATTAGATAGTACACACCACCTCAAACATACGGTACATGACACACACCACCTCAAACATACATGACACACACCACCTCAAACATACATGACACACACCACCTCAAACATACATGACACACACCACACCTCAATCATACATGACACACACATGCAGTTAAGTTGCAGACAGCCTGAAACAGCTAATACCCCCAGTCCCTCTTTTTTTCTCCTGCCATCATCACTTTACTTCCTCTCCTCCTCCTTCTCCTCCCTCCATCCTCTCTCTCCCTTTTCAATTACACTCCCTGCCTGGTTTTCTTCCCTGCATTATAAATCAGGTCAACCCGAATAGCACTCTCCCACTCTGCAGTACGTCTGGGCCTGTGACACAGTGGGAAACAGAAATACTCTGAATCCATTGTAGAAATGGGTTTGAAGCAGATAATCTATGACGGTTCAGAGGCTGGTTTCACTTCAGGCAGGAGACTGTGTCCAGAATAATAATTAAAACACAGTTTCAGCATCGACAGAAGAAGAAGAAGCTAAAAGCTAACGACTGATCCAAATGTGAAATTAAAAAACATGACACGTCCAGGGGGATGAATATTAAAGACATTGGATAGAAAATATAGACAACATGACAGTTGTGAAATATCTGGATGGCCCCCTGGTGGCTGGTTGCAGTACAGGTCATAAACCCCACCTCCTCCATGTTAGCAGACGGTCACTGCACGTCCCCCTCCACTAACCTCCACTGGACTATTTGACTCTAAATGATCCTAATTAACTTAAAGGTCCAGTGTGTAAGATTCAGGTGAAACGATCTATTGGCATAAATTTAATGTAGAATAATCCTCAAGATGTTTTCACGAGTTCGTTTCATCTAAATTATATGAATTGTAGTTTTCTTTACCCCAGAAAAGACCCTTTATATTCAAATACTTTATATTCAAATACTTTATATTCAAATACTTTATATTCAAATACTGTATATTAACATGGAGGGGACCCTCTCTACGGAGGCCGCCATGTTTTTTACATTAGTCCAGACTGGACAAACTAAAACCTTTTGAGTTTTTATGACGACTGAAGCTGCCACGGGTTGTTTTTCATGTTCTGAAGGAGAGGGGGAGGGGAGGGGTGTTCAGCTGCAACATGACACTTCACCACTAGATGTCACTAAATTCTACACACTGCACCTTTAAGACTTGAAACTAGAGATCGAGACATAAAGAGTTTATGTCGCCCTCTGCTGGTCATGGAGAGAATACAGGTTTCAGGTACTTGAGCATTGCGGAGTTTATGTCCATTTTTATAAACAGTACATGGTTATGATTGACAGCTGAGACTGATTGACAGCAGACATCAAGATGGCGGCGTCTGCATCCAAAGTGTTTTGGCTTCATCTTTGTTCAGCAGGAGACATTCGAGATGTGTCGTCCATCTTTACAGTCATTACTGTTAATTAAGATTATTGTCTAAATCCAGGAATATCCAGAATCTGATAAAAAACTTTACTTTAAAACATTAAACGTCACAAATGTTCAGTGATCTCTGGCTGAAACCTGATTGGGTAAGAGGATGATGAGTGGCAGCTGTCAGTCATCATCTGTCGCTTCACTGATCCAGACACATTAACTCACAACCAGAGAACTGAACCTCACGCCTGCACCTTGATGCTCCTCCATCATTCATCATCACACTGGACTACATCCTGTTTTTATCATCTTCACATGTCTGAGCTTTAATTACTGCTGCACGAACAAATGAGGAAACGATAGAGGAGGTAAAGATGGAGGGTTTGTTACTCACCTTATCTCCTTTTGGAAATGAGGGAGGAGGCGGGGATTTCCCTTTGCTCTCTCTCTCTCTCTCTCTCTCTCTCTCTCTCTCTCTCTGGATGTTGGAGATCCCAGAGCATCAACGCAGAGAGAGAGAGAGGGAGGGAGAGGGAGAGGGAGGGAGAGGGAGAGGTTAGGTTTCTTGATGCAGTCTAGACAAGGTCTGAATACTTATCAGCTCTGTGTGTGAGCAGTATCACAATAAGAAGTGCAGACACACACACACACACACACACACTGAGTACACTCTTGTGTATTTTATATGAACACACCGTCTGTTATGATATAATTTTCTCTTCAGTTCGTGTAAAAGAATAAAAATACCACAGAGCCTCGGCTCCAGCAGAAGTTCAGCGTAACTCACAAAAACATTTTATATTATTTCATAACTTCATCACGTTTCACCTGCCACAGCAGTATTTTATAATTTAACTTTAAATTATATTCATGTGGAAATCATCTGGCTTTAAGGCAACAATATATATATATATATATATATATAAATAACTTTACCTTAAGGCAGCAGCCTGATAAAAAAAGAAATGATGGTTCAGTGTTTCCTCCTTCAGTCCATGAATCTGTTCTATGTAACTTTGGTGAGTGGGTTCGATCTCCTGTGAGAAGAACTGACTGAGAGTCCGTTTTTTAATCTTGCACGATTCAAAAGTAAAATAGTCCGAATATAAAAACCTACCACAGTTCTGACAGTGTCATCTTGAAACCTGGAAAAGTTTAACAAAAATAAAAAGGGTCCTGGGTTAAAGTCAGAATGATGAATTCTATTCCACCACATTTACAGTCTGAGTCATTAAAGGTCAACAGACGCTGTCAGTTTATCCCACAAAGAGAAACACTGACCTCTGCTGGTGTGACTGCAGCCCTGAACTCTCCTCTGATCCAGAAAATCTAAATGAAAACAGTTCGTGTGAGAGAAAATACTACATTTCTATTGTATTGATACAGAAACAGCCATTATTATAAACACTTTAATACCACACCTGTTATTTTAATGTCTCGACACGTCTGTTAAACTTTGTTTCCTGTGTTTCTCTTCTTCTGTTTCTGTCTTGTTTTTGGTCTGAGTGGATTTAACCAAGTTTTAAATGTCTTGAAGATTATCACTGTCATTACTAAACCTGCCTGAGCAGCAAAGTAACCCGTTAGTTACAGAAATGACTGTTAGCTGAATTTAGAGCGCTCTCTGAAATGAGAGATTTTGGAAGAAGTCCCTCAAAGAAAAGCACAAATGATTTTGTTTACATATAAAACATACTGTGCATTTAAAATTGTTGGATTGAAATGATGTAGAACTTGCTAGTGTTCAGATATTTGTTTGGTTTTTCTTTCTGACACAGGAACATTGAATATTTACTCTAATGGACAAAACTGAAAATATGTAAAACACGTCTGGAAACACGATCCTGTAACAAAAGAATAAAAAAGACCAAACAAAGCGATTCTCAAATTCTGACACCAAGTCTTTATTTTTTACTTGCTACTCGATCAGTACATAGACAGAGACAGTTTACCTTGTATATGTATTAATATATATTTAAACTTAACGGTACTTAATGACAACAACGCAGCGCTTCCCCTCTCGATAGAAACAAGCCCACAGGGAAGAACCCCCCCCCCCCACAATATGAAACAATCCAGACGAGAAACAGAAACAGAACTTATTGCTCTATACAAATCATCATAATGTTAGCGAGAAGAAAAGTAGCGGTACACATGAACAAACATCGTTATATCAAGATGAGGTTACACTTCTAGTTCTGACTAGAAAAAAGAGGAAACTCCGAGGGAGGAAGAACAGAATCGATGTCGATCTTCACGATACAGAAGCGTTAAAAGTTAAAGCGTCCGGCTCAGGTGACCCGCTCTCTAAATAAAAAGTATCTACAAGTGCAAGGAGGACCGAGGTCGATACAAACTGATCCAGAAACAGCTTACGGGCGGCGTGGGCTTTCAAAGGAAACGGCTTACGGGACGTCACTACGTGGAGACGTTTAGGAGGAGCAGGGTTTTTTAATGTACAGGGTTGAAGGTCAAAGATGTTGGGCCGCAAACCATAGTGAGGGCGGAGTTGACGATACCGTACAGCACTTCATCGAGGGGACGGAGTACATTCAGGAGCCCCCCCCCCCACCCCACCCCCCAGGCAGATGTTGATGGTAGAAAATATCTGAAATATTATCGTGTACAAACTGTGCTACATGCAAACTTCAGTGTTGGTGAAATGAGGAATGACTGTTTTTAATCAGACCAGTATCCTCCCATCATCTTCATCATCTTCATCATCTTCATCATCTTCATCATCTTCATTTCATGTTTTTTTAGTTTCAGGCTTCAACAACAACAACAACAAAAAAAAAATCTCCAGCTTTGACAAAATCACATTCTTTCTCTTTGACATTCATTCGTTCTCTGTTTTCCAGAATCTCTCTCTCTCTCTCTCTCTCTGTGTTGTGGGAACAAACTCTCCTCTTCATCTCTGGCGCCCCCTGGTGCACAGAAACAGCACAAACACCAGCGCTACTTTAGAAAGTGACTTCAGCTGATAGCCCTTTATGGTGGCGGCCGGGCTCGCCTGTGAGGGCCGGGGCACCTTGAGAGTTTTTTTTTTTTGGCAGTTGGGAAAGGGGAGGGGTCGTCGGCTGGGGGTTGCCCTACATTCCGAGCTTGGAGCCCAAATGGCTCCAAAAAAGCCCCGCCCCTTACAGGACGCCTCAGGCAAGCGCGCACCTCAGCGATTGGAAGCTACGCCCCTTCTGACAGGGGACCAAAGGGTGTTTTTGTAAAAGTGGAAACAGTTGAAGGGGATTATGGGACATGAACACGCACATTACCAGGGGGACGCCAACTCTGAACGCCACCGACGAGGCGGTCCAGTGTTCGAACAGACAACACGGTACAGCTTCACTAAAACCGAGCCTACATACAGGTACTGCACTGTCCAGACTATGGCTACTCAGCACATCGAACAACACGCTACACACATAGCAACTCCTACTGGTGATTATATCTCGTTGATGCATGTGTTGGAAGTTTCGTCTTTGGCTGAGTTCCCTCTCAGAGTCCAGACGTGTGGACGGACGCTGTGAGGGAAGGCCGTTCAGAACGAAGAGAGGGTTCTGCCTCGGTCCCACCCTGGTCCGGTTTGGTTCGGGTCAGAGCGTGATTGTCGCGTTAGAGACCACAAAGAGCCGACTACAGCCAGAACACCGTTCACGCACTAGAGTCAGGCTGCGTTCGCACAGACACGACAAAACGCACAGGTTGAATCTCACGGTGTAACACAGAGTGTGAACGCAGCCTGGCAGACTGAGGATGGTGGTTTGATTATTAACATGGTGCTGATGGAAAATTCTGCTCTATAGCTGCTACTACTCAGATACTACAATGCCCCATGATGTCGCACTCACATGCATATATACATGTTCATTAATATTTATTCTAGCCTATTCTCGTGTCGTGGATTTTCTAAGAAATGATGGCACACATCTTAAAGCTGCACTCAGCAACACGACACCGATGCGGCTCCAGGATGAAAGTTTGGTCCTGTGTGGTTTAACGTCATGTTCTAATTAGTGTGAATCAGTTTATCTTCTATGTGATGGTCCCACTTTGTAATTTAATCTCCCACAGATACTTAATATTCCTCTCTGAGGCGTAAATCTATTCCTAACTTCACATGCCACATTATTAATAGTAATTTCATTTGATTTGTTAATCAGTTAAACACCATGCACCATATTGATATTTCCACAGAAACTGATTTTAGGTTAGTGATTAAAGTTCAATTCTACCTCTGTGTTGTTATGAATCTGTTAATAAATCAAAGTTCATTAGTCACGTTAGTTACTTCATATTTAAAATTCACTGGAATGGATGCAGCTGTTCACAGATACCACGCTTTATATTCCACTTTTATAATTGTTTGATATGAACTCTCACCAAGTGCAGCTCTAAGTCTGTGTGAAAAGCTATTCAGGCTAACGAATCTCCTCTAAGCGCTACAGGTCTGGACTACGATAGGCTGTGCTCTGCTGTCCGTCAAACTCTGGACACACCCCTTGTGATGGAGAGAAATAAACAACACAGAGAGAGAAATTCACACATCTGTACAACAACAACAACAACAACAACAACAAAACTTATTTTGCTCGCAACTCTTTCTTTGTCAGCCCCTAAAAATGAATTCCTCCTCCTCCACCTCGTGCACGTACTCGTACTTATACTCGTACTTATACTCGTACTCGTACTCGTACCACGTTATGACCAGCGGCTCTTCCACACACGTTGCTGTGTGGACTGTTGACAGGCAGGTCCTTCGCTTTTTTCCGGGGTTGGGGGGGGAAGGAAAGAGGGGTGGGAGGTTAGAAAGGACGCAGGCAAAGAATGAGGAGACAATTAGCAAACACAAGAATGAAACCAGTCGCCTAAACGGGGGTGAAGTGGATATTCATAAGGTGTGGGGGGGGTTTAGTAGTAATACATATGATATTTTACAGTGGGGGGGGGAAGAAGATGGCCGACAGAGAGAGCTGTCTTCACCTCCTTTCTGTCTCCTTCACTTTTTTTAAAACACCTCCCCACCTCCCACCGTCACCCTCTGTCTCTCTCCATCCCTCTAGCCCCTCCCTCCCTCCCTCCCTCCCTCCTTCTATGGCTCTTCAGCAGGACACCTCCATGGTGTGGGTGACTGTGCCGACCCCCTCGGTGCTGTCGGAGTGGGTGCAGGCCCGAGAGCGGGACCCGTCCATGGAGCCGGCGCTGGTCAGGGAGGCCGTCCTGGAGCGAGCCAGGCGGGTCATGCTGGCGGAGGGCACTGGGGTTGGGGGGGGGGAAACATGGGGAATGGAGGGAACAGAGAACAAAGAAGAGTTCAGCATCACATCTTGTAAAAAAAGAAAAAAGAAGTGAGATCAGTTGATGTCGGGGGGATGTGGGGGAGTTCATGCTAATGTCAAGAAGTAAAGAATATCTGGTTCTGCTGGTGAGACGCTGCCTCGCTCAGCTCGTCTGGTTCAACACAGTGTCAGCGACATGCTGGAGAAATTCAGGCCTCAGTTAGTTGTGTAGCAAACTCCTCAATATAATATTATTGTTATTGAATCGTATTAAATTACACATTAATATTAGTCAAGTCATGAAAGGCATTATGGGTGAAGGGGCCTTGAGTTATTTCACAGTTTAGAATAAACTCTGAAGCTCGATTATCCAAACTGTTAAGATTATATCTTTAAAAAAAAAATTTATTAAATTCATCCAGTAGAAATGTACCAACATTATATATTAAATATAACTGGACCACATTTTAATGATAAATTTAACATAAGTGACGTAGCTGCATCTAAGAGTTTATCTAGTTAACGTAGCTTGATTTACTGTTTGGCCACATGGGGGCAGCACCGCGAACCTACCAGAATTTAGTCCAATTTCCTCTCAGTTAGCAACAAGCTAGTTGTGTTCAAACAATTTGAATAAGTTTACATTTTCTTAAAGGAACAACATTTAGAGTTCTTTCTTCTAAAGCGTCAACAACTGTTCCTTTTCATACGTCAATCATTTTAAAGTCTGAAGGCTCCGAGCTAGCTGAAGGCCATGCAAAGAGCAGTACTGGAGATGTGATGGTAAAGGAACGGGGGGGGAGGGGGAGTAAAAACGGTTTATTTTTCCATTAGAGGAAAAATTGTTTTTGATAAAACAAAGATGGGCAAAAGTAAAGATTCCATAACAGCCCCAATAAAAGTGTATTAATAGCAACAAAACAAAAAAAAATCAACATAAATTTCAAGATGCCAGTATCATCGAACAGGGCAGCAATAAGAGGTCAGAGGTGAAGGGGGAGGAGGAAGTACCTGGCCCTCCACTCAACCTCCGATCCTTCACATAAGCAACTGAGAGAACAGGGCAAGGGAGACAGAGCAAGATTAACACAACTCATATCCCATCACACAGAACAACTGCAACTTCCACTGGAACAGATTTTTATATGGAATTCATTTAAGATCATCGACACACAAACATACAAGCACAGACTCGTTTCCACCACAGAAACTAGGAACCTCTGCAGGAACTGTGTACATATACACAAAGGTCGCAAAATGAAGCAAAATCTTTTTACCCCCCTTAAAAATCTGAGGACGTCAGATTAGTCGATAACTCAAGTTCTCGTTGTGGCTCAGCTGCTGAATCTCTGCATTTCAGATGTTTTGAATAATCTCATCTATTTCCCATGAACAGCACGATCGAAGTCTCCTCACTATTGTGGATGTGGCGCTCTATTTATAAATAGATTTTCCCTTTAATTCTCTAAACTGTGCCGTGTTTATCCGACTAAAGCTTCTAAATAAAAATAAATAAAATATCAGTTTTAGCTTCACTGTAGTCAAAACATCCATAAAGTTTTTACCATCGTCTGCAGAATTGAGTATAAAATCACTGAATATCACTTTCTCGCAGTGTGCACACAATTCTCAGTAGGCATTGTTGTTCTATAGTGTTCTGCACTACCGCCCCCTGGTGGAAGTGAGTGAAACAGCACGTAGCCATACGTCAGCGGTCAAACTGTCTCCTCACCCCTGGTTTTTAGATCGTGTTGGAAATGCAGACGAACCACAGTCTGCAGGGACATTTTAAAAGTTCCAGCTACTTCTGGTGGAAACCTGACGTAAAACTCTCTCTCTCTCTCTCTCGCTCTCTCTCTCTCTCTCTCTCTCTCTCTCTCTCTCTCTCTCAGACAGTTTGTAGATACTCACTGTAGCCCATTCCCTGCAGGAAATACTTGAAGGCTTCAGTCAGTTTTCCAGGCTGGAAAACAACAAGTCACAGTTTTTAGTTCACTGATTTTAGAGCTCGGATGATGCATTCACGGTCTGCCTGGATTGTTGGTTTGAATTGATTCTACGACAGCCTGTTGATGATGCCGTTTGTTGCTGTTTTACCTGAGTGAGCTGGGGGAGTCCTCCAGAATCAGCCATCTGCCACGACAGGAGAGAACAACCGTCAACAGTTACTGAAGGAATTTACACCCTTTCTTTGTTGACCTCTGTTTTACTGGAAACACTTCTGAAATTGTTCTAACAAACAGAACTCGCTCATTTAAATGATATTTTACAAGTCGGCTGTAAAATAATGATAATTGAAGTAAACAATCCATACTATGACTATTATTGATTATGATTATAATTTATTGATTATGTGTTTTATGAGTTTTATTGTTTGTGAATAACTTGAGTCAAACTATTTGCTTTAGTAGATAAACTGTGTTTTATTGTTCTTCTCCATTTGAATTGAGGCTTTTTACTTTCAACTACCTACTCGTGGAGCCTCAGCGTTGCCATAGAGACGAAATCATCTACCAAGGCCACATTTTATTAAAAGTGCACTTGAAATAATTTTGCGTGCACACGAGAGACCATTTGTTTCCGTGTTGTGATAAATATGAGATTGGATCGATTGGATCTTGTGCCCACACGTCAATCAACTAATTAGTTTATTGATTTATTATGCAAAGACAAATTATCAACTTGTTTACGGGCTAATTTTCAAAACCCATCCTTAAAAGTGAAACAAATTCCGTCTCTTCAGTTAATTAAATTGTGCCTTTTGTGCAAAGTTGCAATTCAGATTGTTTAACAGCCCAGATAAAATAGAACAATAGAATAAAATGCAATAATATAGTAAAATAATGAGTAATGAAATAAATAATAATTAGGCAGATTGGAAACTGTTTAAATTGCCTGATGTAATAAATTGATAGATCCTTTTTGTCTGTGGTTAATCACTTTCTGGTGATTTAGATTTAAGAAGACAAAAAATGTAAATGTTCCTTTATGAGTCAAGAGACGTCTCATACTTCTGAAGCTTTAAATAAATGACTTTGTGTTTTTCATGTGAGTCTGTGTGAACGTGCAGCAGCTGCAGGTGAAACCAGGACCAACCGTTACCTTCAGGAAGGTGGTGTTGGTCGGATCCAGTTTGGAGTTGCACTCGACCTTGTAAAAAAAGAACAGAACTAAATCAGCGAAACATAAACTAATATAGTGACAAGAAACCTGATGAAGTGTTGAAGTTAGAGATCATCAGGACGAAGAGGAGCTGAGGACGTTATTGTTTGATTATATTAGTGTGTGTGTGTGTGTGTGCGTGACCCAGATACTGCAGTGAGCTGCAGAGATGAGTCACTGCTGCAGCCAAAGAGCACAGACATACACACAGACACACACACACACACACACTTTGTTTTTCTGCTGTGTTCACATGCAAACATAAATAGAGCAAATGCATGTTTCTGTGTTTTCTTTCAAATATTCTCGTAACGACGGGATGCAGATGCAGATGCAGATGCAGATGCATTGTCGGATAATAATTGAAAATCTCCTGCATGCGGAGCAGGATATGTAAACACAGTCTGTGTGTTCTGGTTTTAAATCTCTGAACGATGCCAGAAGACACGACACAGAGCAAACACAGCAGCCTCAGCCGCTCGTAGCAGCGGATATGAAATATTAACACGACCTCCATCTGTCACATCCAATAAAACAACCTCTGTCAGCGTCCGTCGCTTCCCATCTCTCCATCTCTCTCTCTTTCCGAGAGGTTTACAACAACACCTCTTCCTGCCCTCCCTCTGCACCCCCTTCCCATCCGTCCTGCGAACATGCAGAAGATTAACTGGTGCAGAAGCACAAATATCTGGTCCACATTTCAAACTAACGCCGGAGACAGAACGTTCTGGCCTTTGGGGAACAGCAACACACACACAGATGGACACACACACACACACACACCCACACACACACCCACACACAGATGGAGACCGAGCGGAAACAGACACACACACATTGTCTGTGACGGTGAACCAGGTCTCTGATGTTTCGGTCGTCACACCGAGCAGAGCGAGAGGACGAGTTCAGTGTTTGTCAGAGAGACGATCACCGCAAGGGAAGAGGGAGTGAATTAAAGGAGGAGGTAAAAGAGAAGGATCAGCAGGGGGCGCTGGTGAAACAGAGCTGCAGCCTGAGGAGATGGGGAGAAAAAGGGGAAGAAGGACTCACCACTCCTTCCTCAGCAGGAGCGTTGTCTCCTACGACCAGCATCGTGGGACACCTGCAGGAGAACAGCAGCCGTGTTTGATATTTAAACCAGTGGATGGAGGATAATATCATTTATGAGTTTTAGGGCTGAAGAAAATTAGGATCTGCTCGTCACGATGTTGTGTTTTTATTATTATATTGCTTTTAACAAGGCATTTGGTTTTTAATGATTTATTTTACACATTGTCTGTGTGGTAACTTGTTTAATTCTTTTATAATTGCACTGCATGTATTTTCTGTTTCTATATCTTCGAAGTACTTTGTGGATGTGTTTTTTTGTAAAGTACTATAAAGAAGAAGTGTATTGTTATAGGTCAAGACAAACTTTGTGAGACTTGATTTCTCAGAGACTTACTTCAGGGTCTTGGCGTTGAGCACCGTCCCGCTGCGATTCATCTCCAGGTCCCTACGACTGAAGACAGACATCATGAATGACAAGATAAAGAGCGTGTGTGTGTGTGTGTGTGTGTGTGTGTGTGTGTGTGTGTGTGTGTGTGTGTGTGTGTGTGTGTGTGTGTGTGTGTATCTCCACCTGTTGTACATGTTCCAGAACAGCTGCAGGTTGAACAAGTTGACGGTGTTGTTGATCTGTTGTCGGTAGCTCTGCACCAGCTCTGTGTTGTTCATCAGCTCCTCCTGCACACACACACACACGCACACACACACACACACACACACACACACACAATATTGTTTTCTAAAGTCTGTTTTAACCTCAAAATGAAAAAAACTAAACTAAGGACTTAAAAAACGTCCGTTTTCCCATTTTATTTGAGGGCCGTGAACGTACCTGACTGAAGAGATGTGGCAGCACAACATCTGGCAGCGTGCTGGTCAGACCTGACAGCTGAGGAGCAACAACAGAGGAGATTATTATGGTGAGGAATCAAAAGGAGCCTCTGGATCGGTGAGCCGGTGAAGTCGAGCACCTTGGTGGCGGCCCAGTCAATCCATCCTTTGCCATTGGGGTCGATGTTGAGCAGAACCAAACCCTCCACCAGGTCGGGGAAGATCAGCTGAGAGCAGAGAACACAGATTCAAGAGGATCCCTCCATTCAGAATATATCACATCTAAATTATATTTCTTTCTTTTAGCACGAGGCTCATTTAGAAGATGTGCGGTTGAATCTGAATCCGACTCACAGCGAACTTGGCCAGAACGTAAGCTCCGGCTCCCACTCCGATCCCAACGATGCTCTTGAATCTACAAAGATCAATGATCTGTTAGAGGCTGAATTTTAAAAGTGAAGGAAAGTTACTGAATCTGTCAATTCATGCTCAAATAAATGTTCATCTGCTTCTCAGACAAATCACATCCTGTTCGCAAGACACATAAATATATATATATATACAATTTATAACGACTTAACGATAAGTTGTGTAAAATAAAAAGAGAACGTTGAATTTCAAAACAAAGAGCACGAACCCAAAGTGCTGCACCACAGTCGGCAACATCCCGGCCAACTGGTCCATGGTGGGATACTGGTACCTGCGGAGAGACGGAGGATTTAATGATCATGATGCTTTTAAACTTTTACACCAAGTGAAGAAGAAGAAGAAGAAGAAGAAGCAGAAGAAGAAGAAGAAGAAGAAGAAGAACAGCTTGGTGTCGTGTGACGTGAGGTTCAGGTTCCTTTACCCCTGTGGCAGCTGAGACGCTCCGACCTGCTGTCCCGGGGCGTCGACGTGACAGACCACAAAGTGCTTGGTGATCTCCTGCATGTCCTCGTTATTGAAGAAGGTGTTGAAGCACAGTTTGTCTGTCGGAGAGCGAGGGAGGAGAGGAAACGAGGGAGTCGGTCAGAGTAAATATGGATGAAAGGTTAAAACCCCGATTCGTTTAAAACAGCACAGATCCTGTGTCTGTTCTTGCAGCCGTTAACAAAGATCAACAAAGACCTGAAACAAATGTTTTCTGTGGAGAAACATCCGGCGACTCGTGAACCTGGAACACCAGAGAGCTGCTTCCTGTTTTTTATTTAATCAGATCTGTAAGTCGGAGGCAGCTGCCTGGGACGTGAGGCCAAGATGGCTGCCGAGCGGTGAGACTTGTCTCTGAGGACTTCGGTCGACCTCATTCGTTGGTTTTTCCTCAAATTGTTCCTCCATCATTCAAATTATAACAGAGATTTACGAGACTTTAATTCCAGTTAAATCTCTTTTATTTCGAGAGCGACCCCCCCCGGAGGATTCCTCTAAAAGCGTCGAGCTCTATTCCCTGAACCAGTTTAAACTGAGAGACTCTGATGGGACATGTTTAACACATGTCTCTGCAGATGTCCTACTTTCCACCCGTGTGTGTGTGTCCGACTGTAAAACATTGTTTCCTCCAGCTCCGGTTGAGCGGCGTTAATCAAACGGACCAATTAACACGACAACTGGGTCAGAAGTGACAAACCAGAGGGGCAGGCGCTCTGTCTCTGCTGCAGCGCCACCTGAGGACAGAGGTGAGAACTACTCCCACGTTTGTGCTGAATCACCGGCGAGACGAGGGATGAAGTCTGCACCGTGACCTACTTTCTCCATTTGCACTTTCTGTTTCTCTCTCCCGCTAATCCTCCCTCTCCTCTTCTTCGGTTCTTGTTCTCCTCCTCTCCCTCCCTCCGTGCGTTACTTCGATTCTTTCTCTCTCTAACACACTTCTAATCTCTTCTTCTGTTTTTTTTCCTCCCTTCTTCTCTTTGTTCTCTTTGTTCTTCGTCTTTACTTCTGTGTTTTGTCCATCTGCTGTTTGGACTCATTTTAAATATCTTCATAGATTAAACACTAAACTACAGACCAGTGTTCCTCCCTTGCAGTGCTGCTCCGTCCTGAGTCCATGCAGCAGAGTCGAGTGATTGAGTGACAGGTCATGAATACTAAACACCTCATGGTGCTGCAGCGAGAGCAACTTCCACCCTGAGCTAATTCCTGATAATGCATTTTATTTCACCTCCCTGTGTTTTGCATCGTGAATTGAATTTGTCCTGAATAAGACGCATAATCGTTTTTTAGTGACACTCAGAACAAACGGGACAAAGGACGCAGCAGGACAAACATTAAAATCTGACATCTGCAGTTTTGGGATCAGCTCCCGTCCCTGACACGCCATCGTCCAAACCCCCATCGTCCCCATCGTCCCCACCTCCACCCATCGGTGCTGCATTGCTGCTGGCCGCGCCCCGCCTCCCTCTGCAGGATGTTTTTCTGACCTACATTTCATCGGTGCCTCTCGCACTCGCCCCTTCGTTTGCATCCTCACCTCCTCGTCTCTTCTCTTGTATTTCTGTCGCAGCCTGTTTGGCTCCCGGCCTCATCTCGATGTCTCCTTGTTTTTGTTCTATTCTCATCCTCCTCTTCACATGGGTTCATCTTGTATTACCCCCCCCCTCCTTTATTAAATCACTGCCCACAGAGAGTGTTTTCAGCGTTGACATGTACTTCATCCTTTTGATGGACGAGGACAAGATGATGCTAATGAGCTGTGGCCTTTTCAAATTGACCTCAGAGACGATTTTATAACCACAAAACCAGTTTCTATTTAATGAATAATGATTTTAAACTTTGAAAAATAACTTCATGACTAATTTTTCACTTGCTTCTTTTGTGTGTCTGTGTGTGTGTGTTGGCAGAGTGAAGGCAGGGAGTGATAATGTAGCATGAACACCAATTATCACCTCTAACAAGTGCAGAAACACCTTACACAACAACCTGGAAAATCACACACACACACAGACACACACTCTGTACTCACGGTTCAGTCCCACATCGTGGTAGGTGAGGATCGCAGGCTTGTTCCCTTTGGGCGCCCCGCGGATCACCACATGCAGCATCCCATAAGGAGTCTCAACATCATGTTCCTGTGAAACACAAAGAACATTCTCACCTGGTGCTTCACACACACACACACACAGACAGACACACACACAGAACTGTGAACCATGATCTCCACTGTTCCTTGAAGCTGCTTTTTATTGAACTCCGGTCAAACCCTCCTCGGGACGGTTCATCGTTAATCTTCTTCTGCCGGAGCTCGAGTGGAGACGTGTTGTAATT